TGCTCGTCTCATGATCCAACGTATTCAGGGGTCTCTCTTCACATAAGTGTTTCAGAGGCAAAGCTAACTCCAAAGGAGCAAACAAAGGAGACTCCTAAGGAATAAGAATGGTTTATTTTATTCTCTTAGAGCAACTTGCAAACTCTAGTTGAGTATCCCAGGCTCTGAGGGAGCTCATTTGGAGCAGGTGCATGTCCCGCATGCTCCTGAGGACACACAGATGGAAATATCTTAGCTAAACATCCCCAGACATTATTTCCAGCACTGACATCTATTAAAAGGAACACTGACATCCTCTACTTTTCTCAGCAGGCAAGGCTGCTAGGAGTTTTGCACGAGATTTAGTCACATTAATCGCACTTCCCAGCCACATTTCAGCCAGGCAGTACTCTCAGCAGACAAGGGCACACTATCAGACCGGCAGCTTCCTCCATTGACAAGCCTTTAAGAAGGTTTTCTCGCTACATGAGACAGTAGGACAGGCAGCAGAAAAAGGGGCTTTCAAAGAATTCTGTATTTAACGTGCCAAATTTTGTGCCACCTGGATCAACAGATTCCACATGCTATACAAACTCTGACTGTGTGCACTAAGTACATGCTCAGGCTTAACAGGAAACTCACTAGCCAATAGTTTATGTGACTACTAGGCCTTGTAACTTAAATGCTCAGAAAAGTTGTGGCAGTGATAAGACCCAGCAATCTCATTTCTAAGGTATTTTAAAACTAGGTAATTAATGTGCTTTTTTCTTCCAATGCTTCCCTTCTTGGCTACAGACACTTCTTTCTTCCTTAGGCATGTTTTTCCCTTTGCTGTGTTCAGCAGCTGCTCCTTTTTGCCTTTTTTTATTCCCTTGTTCTCCTATTATTCACCTTCTTGTCCCCCTTGTCTCTCTCTGCACTGCACGTGTTGCCTCCCCCTCCTCGCTTCCATCTCCACTCTCTTTTCAAGATAATTTCCTTGATCTCTCATGCTTCCCTTTGGTACTCCTCACTCTGCTCACACCCCTCCAGCAAGATCAGCCACTTGGCTCCTATCCTTTAGTCTGGGAAAGAAGCCAGAAGCATCTCAGTCCCCTCTCCCCCCACCCCTGCTTGCCGATTCCAAATACCCTTGGAAAGCGCATTCAATATTATTAGTAACTGTTGAAAAACCTTCATGTGAAACAGCTCCACAACTAGATTTTGTATCTTAGAATAAGCCACAGCTATGTAACCACCGTAATGTACTGACCTCTATGCTAAGAAGCTACATTATGAGAGAAGAGACAAACTAGGGAGCATGACATATAACAGACAATGGGAGCTCGAGGCACTCAAATTGCAACTCCCCCCTGAGGCTCTGTGGCAGCATTTCAGTCAATCATATTTCTTTTTTCCTTTTTTTTTTTTTCTTTTTTTAAACCAAAAGCCCTCAAATTTCTGGGGGGAGTGGGAGGGGCCCCATTTTTAACCACTTTGATTCTGGTAGAGCCCAGGCATGTCAACCAGGCCAGAGCCCAGGTATGTCAAGCAGAGAGCAAACAGCACTCCCTAATTTTACAACATGTAAT